TTTTTTATGTTTTAGATTTTTTTATTTTGTTTATTTATTTATTAGATTTATTGTTTGTTTAATGATGACTTTTTAATGATCCAAAAAATATTTGTGCTTTTAGGGAATGTTAAATGAGCTTAATATTAGTTTATTATTTTATATTATTTAATTGTCTTACATTTAATCTTTTATTACTTTATTTCTTTTTTTTATATTTAATTAGTTTATTTATTTATTACTTTTAGTTATTTATGTAGTTATGTATAATAGTCATCCCCTTAAAATGTTTTATTGAATCTTTAATGATCCGTTTTCTTTGCCTTGTCTATTGAATCACGACCTGTTGTCCGTCTTCATCCCACCAGAAGCATGAATTACGCTCGCTTTCTAACAGCTGTGAGCGCAGCCAGAAAACCCTCCGCCATCCGCCTGCTGAGTGAGTCTGACATTCATTATTACTCTTCATTATGATGTCAGAGATGATGCGTGTCTGATGCTCATCTGCATTATGATGTCAAAGATGATGCGTGTCTGATGTCTGTGCTGTTTTTCTGACCCAGCGGAGCTCCAGCAGCGCTCTCCTCCATCTCTGATCTCTCTGGCCGGAGGAGCCCCGAACCCGAACACCTTCCCCTTCCAGTCGGCCAGTATCACTGTGAGGGGTGGAGATGCTCTGCTGCTGGACCACACGCTGATGAAGAGAGCGCTGCAGTACTCCGGCTCATACGGGTCACACACTTATCTTTTTGTGCTTTACTTTTGTGTGCGTGTGTGTGTGTGTTTGTTTGTTTGCAACAGGTTTTCTTTGAGGGTTGGGTTTAGAGAAATAGGTGGGGTTTACACCTATGGAGAGTCCTCATAAACCACCAAAACCAACATGTGTGATGTGTTTGTGTTTGTGTGGTGTATTACAAAACATCCACTGCCTCTGCACAGCGTCATCTAAAGTCAATACTTCACATGTATTTGTCTTTCAGAAGCTTGAGTTGTGCAGGTTTTTCCTCAGAACATTATTGGCTGACACTTACTGTACACTTTATATTCTTCTGTTCTATTTTGTTACGCTCTATTTCATTTTGTTTCATTCTGTTCTATTTTTCTCTGTTCCAATCTATTCTATTGTATTCTATTCCATTTCTTCCTGTTCTATTCTGTTCCATTCGGTTCTGTTCTTTTTTGTTTCAATATGTACTCTCCCCGTGTTGGTGTGGGTTTCGTCCAGGTGCTTTGGTTTCCCCCACAAGTACAAAAACATGTGGTGAATTGGGTTGGCTAAGTTGTCTGTAGTATATGTGTGTGAATGTGTGTGTATGGGTGTTTCCCAGTGATGGGTTGCAACTTGAAAAGGGATAGGACGGAACTGTTTAGGTAGCTAGCTTGAAGCCAGTGGTGCTGTCGGTAAGAACAGAGGTCCAGTCTAGTCACTCCATTTAGTTGTGTTTATTACATGTCTACAATGTTTTGTACTCAGGAGGAAAGGTGTGTATGTGTGTGCTTGTGTGTGTGTCTGTGTGTATATGCGTGTGTGTCGGTGAGTGTGTGTGGTTTTCTGCAAGAAAATAACAGAAATACAGTGTGTCAGTAGTCAGTAAGGAAATAACAGAAATACAATGATTTAGTCTACCAACAAAGTACATATCTAAACAGAAAATATGGTAAACATGAAACATATGAGCACTTAAGTAAACCTAAATTATACAAAAGCCACTTACATGGTCAAATACGCACACAGATTAATAAAGGGACCCCAGATTAATAAAGGGACTGAGCCGAAAAGAACATGAATAATTGTATCCTTCTATTCAATTTCTTTCCGTTCCATTCTATTCCATTGAGCTCTATTTTAACGATCTATGCACAAAGTCTAAAGCACTCAGGGTGTGTCCGAATCCACATTGGTAGTTTAAGGATGGTAAAATGGTCAATGGTCAAGGATGGTGCCATGGTCTAACGGGATAGTGCTTGTTCTCTTAATTAGTTACGCGTGTGTTTTGAGCATAACCTGCATTAAACCAATCAGACTCTCATTCCCTCCCATTCCCTCAGTTGTGTTGGCACATTTGCTACTTACATGGCGGACTTTGTAAGTGTAAAAACTGAACGCTTCACTAGCAAGAAAACAGTTAAACAGAGCATCTGCAGCACAAGGATAAAGAATGAGCCTCCTCCATTCAGCCTCTTTGCTTTTTCTTTACTCCACTTTTACTCTTTACTCCTTTACTTTCGTGGATAGGGAAACTGTTGTACGCACTCCACTGAAGACATCAATCAGCTGACATATTTAATTTTGTTTCTTAAGCTCAAAGATTTGTTTCTAAACTGTCTATTTAACAAATAAATGAACAATAATAACGAAGTGTGGTCAAGAAACCAAACACATTATTTCTTCCAAACACACGTCCTGTTCTTATGCCCCATATGGTGATGCAGAAATTCATTCTATTCAGTTCCATCCTATTCTATGAAACCTTTCCTCTTTGTAATGTGTTGTGCTGATGATGCTGTACTGTACACAGGGCAACTTTTAGACTAGAGCAATGTTGCCGGGCAACTTTGGGAAATTATATCATCAAGGGGCAACCATGTGAGCCACAGGGCAACTAATTAGGGCAACCGGATCCAAATACAATTTTGTTGCCCATTCTCAAGAGGAAAGTAGTCAAGCAACATCACTCTATTGCCGTATTGCTCAAAGTTTCTCTGTTTATCATCAGCATTACAGTTGAAACCAGAAGTTTACACTCTAAAAAAGGAAAATTACCATTTTTAAAAAAATGTCTGATAGTAAATTATACTAAACGTTTACTATTTTAGGTCCGTCAGGATTACCTAAATGATTTACATTTGCTACATGCCAGAATAATGAGATCATTTTGTATTAATTTCTAGACAGTCAACAGTTAACATACATTTCATTGGTATTTTTTTAGCTTTGCTTTTAAACTGTACAAAATCAAATATTGTGTCAAAATCAAATAAAATGTCAAATGTTTTGGATATCCTTCCAGAAGCTTCTCACAATAGTTTGCAGGAAATTTGGCCCATTCCTCCTGACAGAATTGGTGTAACTGAGTCAGATTTGTTGGCTGTCTTGCTCGCACAAGCTTTTTCAACTCTGCCCACAAATTTTCTATAGGATTGAGATCAGGGCTTTGTGATGGCCACTCCAAAACATTCACTCTGTTGTCCTTAAAGACCATTTGAACTCATTTGGCAGTATGCTTAGGATCATGGTCTGTGTGGAAGACCCATTTGTGGCCAAGTTTTAATTTCCTGGCTGATGTCTTGAGATGTTGCTTCAGTGTTTCTACATAATGTTTTTTCTTCATGATGCCATCTATGCTGTGAAGTGGACCAGTCCCTCCTGCAGCAAAACAGCCCCACAACATGATGCTGTCCCCATACTTCACAGTTGGGATGGTGTTTCTAGGCTTGCAAGCTTTCCCCTTTGTCCTCCAAATGTAACACTGGGCATTATGGCCAAACAGTTCAATCTTTGTTCCATCAGATCACAGGACATGTGTCCATTATTATTCTGTTTCCCAGTGTAATTCAGCAAATTGTAATCTGGCTTTTTTGTTGATTCTGGCTTGTTGATTTTCCCATGTTGTCACACAAGCAAGCAGCGTGTTTGAGGTTTACCTTAAATACTATTCTACAGTGGAGCCTCCAATTAACTCAAATGTTTTCAGTCAGCCAATCAGAAACTTCCAAAACCCTGACACCATCATCTGAGCTTTTTCAGAGGCAGAATAATTTTATTGTATGTAAACTTGACTTTCAAGAAAAATTATAACAATTTCTCTAAAAAATCTCTCTCTCATTATTCTACTATTAAGCAGAACAGAAACACATTTGATAGTTCTAACTTACCTAAAAGAGAAAAAGTTTAGTAACATTAACATCTGACTTTTTTTTTTAAATGGTTATGTGCCTTTTTATACAGTGTATGTAAACGTTTAGTTTCAACTGTAGATATATCTAAGACTAGCACTTAGATAATAATATTACTCTTTTGTTGGATCTGATTGTTTCTATTGCCTTCAGTCATTCTGAAGAATCATCTAAAATACTTATATTTTTATAAATTGTGTGTGTGTGTGTGTATATATATATATATATATGTGTATACATATATGTATGTATATATATATATATATATATATATATATATATATGTGTGTGTGTGTGTATACTTTTAATACTAGCACTTTTATTTATAATTTATTTATTATTTTATTTTTCCACAGTATTTTCTATAAAATTTTTTCTCCCTGTTAAAGTCTTACTTGTTTTATTTCCACTAGAATAAAAGCAGTTTAATAAAAAAAATTTTTTATGATTTTATGTCAATCGTTATGACTTGCCTAATTACCCTAACTCTCCTAATTAAGCTAGTTAAACCTTTAAAGTTGCTGTATGTAAGTTTTTTTTTACTTTTCTAAAGCATAAAAATACCATAATATGTTTGCAGATATTTAAGAAACATTCAGATAGTATAAATATTACAAATGTGAACGTTAGGTGACCAGGTTACATTATAACCCTGTATTCTAACAACAAGCAACGTGAAGAGATTTGCAGTGATAAGCAGTTTGCCTGTTTGCACCAGAAGAAACAAGACAGAAATGTAAACACAGCCATTCAGAAGCACAGAATAGAGCACTCGCTGCACTCTAGTGAAATAGTAAGACTCATAATCTAATTAATACTTATTTAACCCTGTTTAACATCATTAAATGTACATGCTGAATGACATATTTGCTGGCTTACACTGACTCTGAAGTTACATTTAAAATGGTTTATTTTATTTTCAAGATCTGAGGTGAACTATCTGCTGCTGCTTTCAGTAGTATGGCAATAAATGTCATTCAAAATGGCATTCAAACTCAAATTATTAACAAATTATTAGCATTTTGCACTGGATAAAGCATATGAGGTGTACCTGAGGTGCTTATTATAGTTTATCCTCTTGTTCAGCTGCAAGAAATAGAAGTCGTTTATAAAATATACATTTCAGGTGTTGGTTAGGATAAAAACTCCTTTTAATATGGAAAATATTCCTTCTATCGTGTGCTGATGCCGTTAGTTAGGACACGTTTTAGGCTCGCTAGTCAGGCATGCTTCTGTTGGTGTTGTCAATCTGGCAACCTGCACTTGCTTGGAGTCGTCAGAAGAGGGACTGAGTGAAAATGTGTTTTGAACCAGGAGTGCAATACCTAGTTTAACCACTGGGTGTCAAACTTACATACTGCACCTTTAAATTGTGCCTAATTTGCACAATACCATTATCTTGAAGAATATCTAATCAAATATTATGCGCTGTCATTATGACAAAGATAAAATAAATCAGTTATTAGAGATGACTTATTAAAACTATTTTGTTTAGAAATGTGTTGAACAAAAAAAAAATCTTCTCTCCGTTAAACAAAAATGAAGGAAAAATATACAGAGGGGCTAACAATGTATAATAATAATGCTAATGTATAATAGTGTCCTGCAGGTGATGTAATGTTTAATGTGTGTGTTTGCAGTATTCCAGAGCTGCTGTCGTGGATGAAGGATCTGCAGAAGAGTCTTCACAATCCTCCTACAGCCTCCTTCAGTGCAGATAGAGGGCAGATGGAGATGTGTGTGACCACCGGCAGTCAGGAGGGCCTCTGCAAGGTACATCACACACAGCACGAGGAACACCAGGAGATCAGTCTGATTGGGTGCATCTTTATTAGAGATGTGGAGGCAAATCCATTCTGAGATTTCCAAATTGCATCATTACTCTAATTTGAATCAATTCAAGGGTTAGTTTTAAACTGCAGATGGCGCTCTACACTAGTTTTTAACAGCAGACTGCGCTCTAGGCTAGCTTTTAAACAATATGTGGCGCTCTAGGCTAGCTTTTAAACAACAGGTGGCGCTCTAGGCTAGTTTTTAACAGCAGACTGCGCTCTAGGCTAGCTTTTAAACAATATGTGGCGCTCTAGGCTAGCTTTTAAACAACAGGTGGCGCTCTAGGCTAGTTTTTAACAGCAGACTGCGCTCTAGGCTAGCTTTTAAACAATATGTGGCGCTCTAGGCTAGCTTTTAAACAACAGGTGGCGCTCTAGGCTAGTTTTTAACAGCGAACGGTGCTCTAGGCTAGCTCTTAACAGCAGATGGCGCTCTAGGGTAGTTTTTTAACAACAAGTGGCACTCTAGACAAATTTTTTAAAAGGAGACTGCGCTCTCGGCTAGCTTTTAAACAATTGATGCCGCTCTAAGCTAGTTTTAACAGCAGACGGCACTCTAAGCTAACTTAAACAATAAGTGGTGCTCTATTCTAGTTTTTAACAACAGATTAAACTGTAGGGTAGCTTATAACAGCAGATTGCACTAGGCTTGTTTTTAAACAACAGGTGGCGCTCTAGGCTAGGGTTTAACATCAGACGGCACTCTAGGCTAATTATTGACTGCATACTGCGCTCTAGGCTAGCTTTAAAAACAACAGGTGGCGCTATATGCTAGATTTTAACAGCATATGGCACTCTAGGCTAGTTTTTAACAGCGGACAGCGCTCTAGGCTAGCTCTTAACAGCAGATGTTGCTCTAGGGTATTTTTAAAGCAACAAGTGGCACTCTAGGGTAGTTTTTAAAAGCAGACGGCACTCTAGGCTAGCTCTTGAAAACAGATTTTGCTCTAGGGTAGTTTTAAAGCAACAAGTGGCACCCTAGGGTAGTTTTTAAAAGCAGATGGCACTCTAGGCTAGCTTTTACAGATGGCACTCTATGCTAGTTTTTAACAACAGATGGTGCTCTAGGCTAGATTTTAACAACAGATGGTGATATAGACTAGCTTTTAAACAACAGATGGCGCTTTAAGCTATGTTTTTAACAGCAGACAGCACTTTAATCTAGTTTTTAATGCAGATGGTGCTCTAGGCTAGTTTTTAACAGCAGGTGATGCTCTAGGCTAGATTTTAACAGCAGATGGTGCTCTAGGCTAGTTTTTAAAACAATAGGTGAAGCTCTAGGCTAGTTTTTAACAGCAGATGGCGCTCTAGGCTATTTTTAACAGCAGATGGTGCTCTAATGCTAATTATTGACAGCAGACTGTGCTGTAGGCTAGCTTTTAGACAACAGGTAGCGCTCTAGGCTTGGTTTTAACATCAGATGACGCTCTAGGCTAATTATTGACAGCAGACTTTGCTCTAGGCTAGCTTTTAAACAACTGCTGGCGCTCTAGGCTAGGGTTTAACATCAGACGGCACTCTATGCTAGTTTTTAACAGCAGATGGCGCTCTAGGCTAATTATTGACAGCAGACTGTCCTCTAGGAAAGCTTTTAAACAATAGGTGGCGCTCTAGGCTAGGTTTTAACAGCATATGGCACTCTAGGCTAGTTTTCAGCAGCAGACGGCATTCTAGGTTAGTTTTTAACAGCAAACGGTGCTCTAGGCTAGCTCTTAACAGCAGATGTTGCTCTAGGGTAGTTTTTAAAAGCAGACGGCACTCTAGGCTAGCTTTTAGACAACAGATGGCACTCTATGCTAGTTTTTAACAACAAATGGTGCTCTAGGCTAGTTTTTAACAACAGACGGCGCTCTAAGCTAGTTTTTAAAAGCAGACAGCACTTTAAGCTAGTTTTTAAAGCAGATTTCACTCTAGGCTAGTTTTTAACAGCAGATGTGCTCTAGAATAGATTTTAACACTAGATGGTGCTGTAGGCTAGTTTTTAATACCAGATGGTTGTTCTCTATACTAGTTATGGTAACCACTTCTTAAATTTTGATTTCACAAGTACTTTAAAATAATTTGTCATGTAGGCAATTCAGCTTTGTTTTTTTAAGAGAGTTTCAAATCAATCCTACTCATCCTCTTGTTTGTGTCTTTTAGATTTTCGAGATGCTGGTCAGCTGTGGTGATAATGTCCTCCTGGATGCTCCCACGTACTCAGGAACGCTGGCGGCCGTATGATCCTCCCTCTCTGCCTGTGCTCTGATCTCTCGACTGTCCTGCTAAAGGTGATTCTCCTCATCTCTGTTTGTATTTTCAGCTCCAGCCGTTGGGTTGTAACATCATCAACGTGTCGAGTGATCAGCACGGCATGATCCCTGAAGCCCTGCAGAAGATCCTGGAGGTTTGGGACCCTGCAGATGAACGCAAGCCCAGAGTCTTGTACACCATCCCCAATGGAGGAAACCCTACCGGAGCCTCCATGACCCACGAGAGGAAGCAGAAGGTCTATGAGGTCAGCAGACATTGGGATGCATGCATGCATTTATTACTGAGTTTGCTTATGTGAAAAATACTGTAGTTATGTGTGAATACTTTCGTTTTTGACCCTTATTGTAGTAAAATCTATTAATTAATCTGGTAATTCTAAAGTTGCTATGGTAACACAACTGTGGTATTTAATTTGCAGTGGTAATTTTATAGTTGCTATAGTAACACAACTGAAGTATTTAATCTGTTGTGGTAATTCTATAGTTGCTATGGTAACACAACAACTGTAGTATTTAATCTGTTGTGGTAATTCTATAGTTGCTCTGGTAACACAACAGCTGTAGTATTTAATCTGTTGTGGTAATTCTATAGTTGCTATGGTAACACAACAGCTGTAGTATTTAATCTGTTGTGGTAATTCTATAGTTGCTATGGTAACACAACAGCTGTAGTATTTAATCTGTTGTTGTAATTCTATAGTTGCTATGGTAACACAACAACTGTATTATTTAATATGTTGTGGTAATTTTATAGTTGCTATGGTAACACATGAACTATAGTATTTAATCTGTTGTGGTAATTCTATAGTTGCTATGGTAACACAACAACTGTAGTATTTAATCTGTTGTTGTAATTCTATAGTTGCTATGGTACACAACAACTGTAGTATTTAATATGTTGTGGTAATTTTATATTTGCTATGGTAACACATGAACTATAGTATATAATCTGTTGTGGTAATTTTATAGTTGCTATGGTAACACATAAACTATAGTATTTAATCTGTTGTGGTAATTCTATAGTTGCTATGGTAACACAACAACTGTAGTATTTAATCTGTTGTGGTAATACTATAGTTGCTATGGTAACACAACAAATGTAGTATTTAATCTGTTGTGGTAATTCTATAGTTGCTATGGTAACACAACAACTGTAGTATTTAATCTGTTGTGGTAATTCTATAGTTGCTATGGTAACACAACAACTGTAGTATTTAATCTGTTGTTGTAATTCTATAGTTGCTATGGTAACACAACAACTGTAGTATTTAATCTGTTGTGGTAATTCTATAGTTGCTATGGTAACACAACAACTGTAGTATTTAATCTGTTGTGGTAATTTTATAGTTGCTATGGTAACACATGAACTATAGTATTTAATCTGATGTGGTTCTGCTTATGAACGTGCCAGTTTGCTCTCAACCAATAGTGTGACTACAGAGGTGGGGCTTAACTGCATCACCCACTAATAATTGTGGCCCAGTTAAACATATACTTTCTATATTTGCATGCCCAGAAATGTGCTTGTGATTTGACCATGTGTTTAACTTGCAGCTTGCGAGGAAATACGACATGCTCATCATTGAGGACGACCCGTATTACTTCCTGCAGTTTCAGAAAGTGAGTGTGTGTGTGTGTGATTTTTATGGCTTGATGTGTTTGTTTAGTGGTTTGTTTAAGCTCTTGATAGTGTCAGTATTGCAGCTGTGATAAGATAACGCTTTGGTTTCTGCTGTCGTCCAGCCGTGGGCTCCTACATTTCTCTCCATGGACGAGGATGGACGTGTGCTGCGAACAGACTCCTTCTCCAAGATTCTGTCATCAGGGTGAGTGTGTGTGTTTACAGTACCCCTGTATACTATAGAGGCACAATGTGTGTTTATGTGCATCTGTCTATCTATCTGTCTGTCTGTCTGTCTGTCTGTCTGTCTGTCTGTCTGTCTGTCTGTCTGTCCGTCTGTCTGTCTGTCCGTCTGTCTGTCTGTCTGTCTGTCTGTCCGTCCGTCTGTCCGTCCGTCCATCTACCTATCTACCTATCTATCTCCAGAGGTGGGTAGTAACGAGTTACATTTACTTGAGTAAAATTATTGGGTAACGTGTACTTTTTGAGTACATTTAAATATGTGTACTTTTACTATTATTAGAGAAAAATCATTACTCTTACTTCGCTACATTACATAAAATTTTTTAAAACCTTTACGATTTTTTTAATCAAACTTTGATGCATCACTTGCTTTTGTCCATATCTCTGACAGTTTTGCCTTTTAAAGTTTATTACAATATTAATCACAAGAAAACATGAGTTGCTCTACAAATATATTTTTATTATGGCAGGGATAAAAGCAAAAAATAAAAAGTACACTTACTAAAAAAATACAGATGTATTACAAATACGATCCAATTACATACGTTAGTGTAAAAGCTATGACTGGTGGAAAAACATATTCTGTAATTGTGTACCTGAGTCTCCACTTTTGCTATGATTTATTTAGGCATAAATAAACTTATCCCTCAGGTTTTTTTTTTTCAAATTTTTTAACAAACTTTCCTCCTTTCCCACTGCTGTTTTTATTTCTAGCAAATAATTATTGGTCATCACTTGCTTTCGTTCATATCTCGGACAGTCCGCCCGTCTGTCCATCTATCCTTCCGTCCGTCCATCCGTCCGTCCGTCCGTCCATCCATCCATCCATCCATCCATCCATCCATCCATCCATCCATTTATTTATTTATTTATACTTACTAGCCACTTTTTTAAGTACACCTGTCCACCTGAGAATCATCTCAGACTGGTTTCTTGAACATGACAATGAGTTCACTGTACTCAAATGGCCTCCACAGTCACCAGATCTTAATCCAATAGAGCACCTTTGGGATGTGGTGAAACGAGAAAATTGGCATCATGAATGTGCAGCCGACAAATCTGCAGCAACTGCATGATGCTGTCATGTCAATATAGAGCAAAATCTCTGGTGAATATTTCCAGTATCTTGTTGAATCTGTGCCATGAAGGATTAAGGCAGTTCTGAAGGCAAAAAAGGGGTCCAACCCGGTACTAGTAAGGTGTACCTATTAAAGTGGCCAGTGATAGTTATATAGTGCTTTAATCTTTTCTCAGTTTGTAAATTGTTTTGTTGTGTATCTCGACTCATTGTTGAGTGTGTTTATGTGTGGTGTGTGTTTTTATTTTTCAGCTTGCGGATTGGTTTTGTCACAGGCCCAAAGCCGTTGGTGGATCGAGTGGTTCTTCACATCCAGGCCTCCACCATGCACACCAGCACCTTCACACAGGTTTACTATCCTCCACCCTAGCAAAATAAACATTGTGAATTTTGATTGTGATTGTGTGTATGTGTGTGTGTGCGTTCAGCTCATAGTCTCTCAGCTCCTCCACAACTGGGGTCAAGACGGTTTTCTCAAACACATCGACAGGTGAGCGGCTGATTTCTGACTTTGTCATGCTCCAGTTATATTGAGTTTATTGGAGAGGATCAATTGAGTTGCAGTCATGTGAAGAAGTTATGGCACCCTGTTAACTTCCAGTTTGTTTAATAAACAGACACGCTGTGAGATGTCATGCAAACTGTTTCACATGAGTGTGTGTTGAGTTGTGTTTCTGGCTGATGTGTGCTTTTCCTCTCTCTCAGTGTGATTGAGTTTTACAGGTCTCAGAGAAACGCCATGCTCTCCTCAGCGGACAGATGGCTCAAAGGTTCGACTCGCACATTGTTACAACTCAACTCAATTCATCTTTATTTTCTATTGTTTTGCAATGTAGATTGTGTCAAAGCAGCTTTACGTAGATGAAGTTCAACCCAATATATAATAGCTATGCTTCCATCCGAACATGCTAGATTTATGCACTTTTTAAAACTTAAATGTCGCATAAAACATTCGCAAATAAAGCAGCGTTTCTGTCCAATAAATCAAAGAGAACAAAATCTTCAGTTGCTGATAAACTGGAGCCAAATATCAGACAGAAAAATTAGATTTTTTATTATATTCAAAATTATTTACCCTCCTGTGTTTAATCCTTTTCCAATATTTCCCAAATGATGTTTAACAGAGCAAGGACATTTTCACAGTGTGTCTGATAATATTTTTTCTTCTGGAGAAAGTCTTATTAGTTTTATTTTGGCTAGAATAAAAGCAGTTTTTGATTTTTTAAACACCATTTTAGGGTCAATATTAATAGCCCTTTAAGCTATATTTATTTATAGACTGTCTACAGAACAAACCATCATTATAGAATAACTTGCCTAATTACCCTAACCTGCCTAGTTAACCTAATTAACCTAGTTAAGCCTTTAAATGTCACTTTAAGCTGTATAGAGTGTCTTGAAAAATATTATTTACTGTCATCATGGCAAAGATAAAATAAATCAGTTATTAGAGATGAGTTAATAAAATGTTTAGAAATGCATAAAAAAAAACTCAGTTAAACAAATATTAGGGGGAAAAAATAGGGGGACTAATAATTCTGCCATCAACTGTATATAGTTTTTTATATTTATTTACAGGTTTCTGTATGCATATATGTGTATATTCATATATGTGTGTTTGTTTGTTTACATATATATATAATTTGTAATTTTTTATTTTGTTTCAAATTGTTATTAACCATTTCATACACATCAAACCAAGCCAATGTTGAGGAACTTTGCTTTCACCATTGTTGATAACCATGTTTCTACCAGAAAGACTTTAGGAGGCAGATAAACATTTGAACATTTATTGTGAATTGTTTGCGTGAATGTGAATTTGTTACGGTCCTTTCATAAAGTTCTTTGGTGTATTAAAACTATTATGATTAGAAATGTGTTGAGAAAAATCTGCTCTGTTAAACAGAAATTAGGGAAAATATAAACGGGGGCGAATATTTCAAGGGGGCTAATAATTCTGACTTTAACTGTATCTATTTTTTTTTTTAACAAGTCAAGTGTAAATGCTGTTATGCTGTTTCTGTTTTGTTGATCTTCTGCGGTGTGTTTGTGTAGATGTGGCTGAATGGCATCCTCCACTCGCCGGCATGTTCCTCTGGGTTAAAGTCAAGGGTGTAAAAGACACACAGAAGCTGATAATGGAGAAAGCACTGGAGAAAGAGGTTTCTACACNACACACACACACACACACACACACACACACGCGCGCACGCACGCACGCACGCACAGACAGACACACACTTGAAAGCATGTTGTGCACTGAATGTCATGAAATTAATGATATATTACATGTACAAAAGCACACTTTTAATGCAAAATAATATATATGTGTGTGTGTGTGTGTGTGTGTGTGTGTGTGTGTGTGTGTGTGTGTGTGTGTGTGTGTGTGTGTGTGTGTGTGTGTGTGTGTGTGTGTGTGTATATATATATACACATAAGTAGTACTAATATTGCTTCTAGTAAGTAAAAAATATATTTAAATATTAAATATTTAGTTTTTCTTTTGATAACTCAGCAGTGCAAAATATTATTCTTTTAAATTACTATGTCAATATAGTTATTGCTATTTAAACATTTTAAAAAGTAATTTATTTGAATTATTGAGGAACGCTATATATACATATGGAGAGAGAGAGAGAGAAAGAGTTAAAGTCAGAATAATTAGCCCCTCTGAATTATTAGCCCCCCGTTTGATTTTTTACCCAATTTCTGTTTAACGGAG